TGAGTCTTTGTGGATATAGTGACAGTCTTTGCAATTTTACATCATGATGAGCCAAAAAATCCAAAAGTTGATGCAATAAAGAATAATAGATTAATTCCAAGTATTTACAAACATGTAGCAGTACCTTTTGCATTTATATTGTGGAAAAATATCTATATTTTTATTTTATTTCTGTATATTTTTCTCAGAGGAATAGTGATGGGCGATACCGAGTACTCAGTATTCAATACCAGCGATACCACAAACAGCGGTATCGGTATCGATTACTGACGTGGTATCGTTCGATACTTGCACCCTTTTTTAGACGACTTGTTTAATTTTAGTTCTTGGTTGAATAAGACTTAATGAACCACTAAAATAACTCTTAATATTCAAAATGTGGTGCACCAAGTCATGTGTAGAATATATTTATTACGTTTTGGGCTTTTGGTTTTCTTATAGCTTTATTTAGGTTGCACACAGTAATGTAAAATGTTTTTCCACTGACCGGCAGGTATCGAAAGTAGCCGATACTGGTAATTTAAGTACTCACTTCCGGTATCGAAAATTGAAATCTTGTGTTTATTTTGGTATCGAAATAGGTATCGGTATCGACCGATACCGATCTTAAAAGTATCGGTATCGGTATCCAATTAAAAATCCTGGTATCGCCCATCACTACAGAGGAATGATAACAAACTGCGTAATACCGCGTGCAACCCCCCTGCTAGGAGACTTGGACTAGTACAATAACTGTATATAACATGAAGTTTCCTGAACAAAATGGCGGAAATTTTAATAAAAAATGTTGATGTTTGATCGTAAAATACAAAAAAACTGCGGGTCTGTGCGAGTGACAACAAGTGAATTCGTTCTCAGCGTATAAAAAGCTATAGATTCATGTAAACTAAAAGTAGGTCCCGAATGGGGGCAACGAAATTTGTTTTCTAAGCGACTTTTGGGGTCACAGAATACGGCCTAAATACCCATATCGACGTATCAGAAATATAAAATATCAGTATTGGTATTTTTGTTGCCAATATTATCAGTATTGTAATACAGTATAACAAATTAATACAACATATTTTATATTCAACCCATTACGCTGCACAGCTTCCCCATTGACAAGCAAAATCGTCTGGCGTTAAACAAGTGAAAAAAGTAAGTACAGTAGAGCGCACAGGGGCGCAATGGGTTAACTAGAGACATTGTCAGATTCTTTGGTTAACCATTAAGCTAATCCTATGGAGCTTCCCCATTGAAGTGTAAAATCGTCTGGCGTTAGACAAGTAAAAAAAAAGTAAGTAGGGTGCACTGGGCGCAATGTGGCTCATTGGGTTAAAGTATACTTTTGATCTCAATTTGATTGTAACACAACTCGGTGACCCAAATGTATCGACATAAATTCAACATATACTGTAGCACAGGGGTCTTCAAACCATGGGTCGCGACCCAAAATTGGGTCGCTAGCACACCCTCGAAGGTCGCAAGGCTTGTCTTGGGTCGCAATGCTTGTCTAGGGTCGCGAACTTACACTAGTAAACTTTACAAGACGAGAGATCAAGTGATAAGATGCACATATTTACATATGAATATT